GGCTGATCAAGAGTTTGGTTCCCTGCCTCCCATGTGGGAGACCTGGTTCCTGGCTTCGCCTTGCGCAGCCCTGGTCATTGTGGCCATCTGGGGATTGAACCAGCAGATGGAAGATTTCTCTCTCTCTCTCTATCTCTGTTACTCTTTCAAATAAATAAATAAATAAATATATAAGCCTTTTAAAAAATTTTAAAAAGACCAAACATGTTTGTTTTTCAAGGAGTTCCATTATCATATTTTTCCACTACCATATTATTTTAATTCAGGTAATTATGCCACACTTTTTGTGACAAGTAATAGATGGCTTCCCACCAGTCTTGTGTGATTTGAGACATATGATGAGAAAAATTTCTGGAATTATCTTTAATACTATAGCATTGAATTAAATTGAACTATTTACTAAGAAATTCTTTTCAAAATTCCAAAATGTTAAAAAAATTATCTCAATTCTAGTATTTACAAATTAGGCAATTTTTAAAGCATTGTTAACCAAATTGGAATAGCATAAAAATAGAGGGAAAAAGTCTGTAAAGGATTCTAGTATGGGTAGCAACAGAAGAATTATTCAATACATATATTTAAATTACGATACAAGTTGTAAGCTATGGTAATTTAAAACTATGAATAACTGTTTAAAAATATTGCCATGTAATGATTTTCTTTGTATTAATATACTTATGGAGGTTCTTTTTTTTTTTTTTTTTTTTGACAGGCAGAATGGACAGTGAGAGAGAGAGACAGAGAGAAAGGTCTTCCTTTGCCATTGGTTCACCCTCCAATGGCCGCCACGTCCGGCGCGTTGCGGCCGGCGCACTGTGCTGATCCGATGGCAGGAGCCGGGTACTTATCCTGGTCTCCCATGGGGTGCAGGGCCCAAGGACTTGGGCCATCCTCCACCGCACTCCCTGGCCATAGCAGAGAGCTGGCCTGGAAGAGGGGCAACCGGGACAGAATCTGGCGCCCTGACCGGGACTAGAATCCAGTGTGCTGGCGCCGCAAGGCGGAGGATTAGCCTAGTGAGCCGCGGCGCCAGCCCAGGAGGTTCTTAATGTTATATTTTAAACCAACATCCTAGTTCTTTGGAGCTGGCATTTAGCCTAGCTGTTACAATCCCCAATCCCATACTGAAGCCCCTGGGTTCAACATCTGGCTCTGGCTCCTGATTCCAGCTTCCTACTAATGCAGACCCCTTGTGAGGATTCATGAAACTGAGTTCCTGCCACCTATTTGGAGGAACTGATTGAGTTTCCAGCTTCAACCCTAGCTCAGCCCTGGCCACTGGGGGCATTTGGGAAGTGAACTAGTGTATATGAGTTATCACTCTTGCTCTTGGCTCTCTTTCTCTCTGCTTCTCAAATAAATAAATTAAATTTTAAAAGCAAATACCCTACTTTTAGAAGCCACTAGTCTCAAGATTCAATCCTATGAGATTAATACATTTTGATATATATGCAGGCTTATTTTATTTTGATTTTAACTTTTGCAAGACTCTAGTGCATGCTTTCCAGAGTTTTAGACATTATTTGATGCACTGCCATACAGGAGAATGAAGAAGCAGGAAGCAGTAAATCCCTCTCATTGATTATTTAGATCCCTAAAATAATAGTCCTGGACTTTTTTGTGTGTACATCTGAAACACCTGCAGAATATAATGCGTTTGCCAGTTCTGACTCCTTCCCCAGGGATTCTGATTCAATTGTTCTGGATGTGGTTCTCAGGAATCTGCATTTTGATAAATATAAACAACTAAAATGTTGAGTTTTCTGCAGATTAAGCAAGGATCTCACCTAGAGAAATACTGCTCTCATACAAGTGCAGCATAATCAGATAGGTCAGGAAATCACAGAAGGCAACCTTTGGATAAAACATAACGTTATTAATGGAAATAACGATGATCTACTTTAATTGTTTTATTGTAGTGAAGGGAGATGCTTTCTTAATCTTTTATATTTTACTCCATATAGAAGCTACTCTGGGAATCAAAAGATCTGATGTTAGATATGAGCCCCTCCATGCATAAAGTACCTCAAGTATTTGTTAATATTTGGGTAAGCTTGACTTCCCTAGTTATAATATTTAATATCAATAATCACAAGTGACCTCAAAGTTCACTGATGATTTGTGTATTTGCTGATGCAAAACCTTCACCTATGTACCTTTATGAGGAGGGTGTGTGTGTGGAGCTGTTATTTAGCCAAAGATTGAGTTTAGTGAACCGTGTAGTGTATTTATTTCAACAAAAGATATTTTATGTATAAAGACCCTTATGAACTGATAAAAACATACTTCCTCTATGAAAAATAATCAACAAAAGACAGAAAATATTGGGGATGTCGAAAAGCCACTAATGTGATAGGAATGCATACCAAAGGAAAGAAGGTGTCCAGGAAAGACAGGGTACAGGAGACAGGTTAGGGATTACAAACACTCATTCTTTTATAAAGTCGAGACTTTTGAAGAACAGAGCAGAATGCTACAACCAGTTTTTCAGCTTTGATCCTTGAAAATGGACAGTTTAAAAAAAAAGAGATTTCCTTACACAGGACTAAGCTAGGTTGGCAACTTTGGAGGGCCATGAACATTTAACTATCTGTTAGTCTAATTGTTCTTTGTCTCATGTCCAGCAGGATTAGCTTTAGGAGTATTTGGGACAAAATACTATCTGAAATTTAATTAAATTATTCAAGATTGCCCCCTCTTACAATTTTAAGACACACAGTTGTTTTAGAATGGTGGTTCTCCGAGTATGATCCCCGTATCGGCAACAATGGCATCACCTGGGAACTTGTTATATACCAGTTCTCAGGCTCTCCACACAGCAACTACATTAGAGATTCTGAGGAGTTCCCACCAATCTGGAATTTAGCAAACCACGTATGGTTTGCTGATGCACATTGCATTTTCTACTCATTCTTAAAAAGGGTATGGAGCAAATGAAATGTGCTTCTGATGTAAGACTCTCTAGAGTCCCACAGAAGTAAAGCTGAAGAGTGGACGCTAAGGAAAATAAAATTTGGAAAAAAAAATGGATTGGAGGGACCCCAAATGGCAACTGAGATAACCTTCTGCAAGGACAACAGAGAATGCTTGAAGGCTGCCATGCAGACAAGAGTGAGCCTGAAGAAATGCTAAGGCAGTGGCTTGTTATCTTCATCGTTTTCATTATCACCATCCATTGCACAACAGCACATGGTCTCTAGATTTCAGGCTGAGGGTCTGCATGGATCATTTAACTTGATCCCTAAAATAAATTTAGGAGGATTTGAAATTTCAGTTTTATCTCTATTTTACATATGACAAAACTGAGCCTAACAGAAGTTCAGTGGTGTACCCCCAAGTTTGTTTAGACAGCAAGGAGGAAAGTGAGATTTGAATGAAGAATAGAATAGAGTGTTTGTTTAATAACTAGTTGAGTTGCATTTACAGAAACTATGGAGGGTGATAAAGGACAGGAAAAATCCCAAAGGCCCGCATAAGCCATTATAAATAAATACATGAATAAAATATATCAAAAGTTTAAGCAGAAAAATCATGAGTTGATTTTAATAAGTGGTCATTAGAAAAAATGTTCTAAGGGGACTTAGCTAAACTATCTCCCCTCCTTCTGCCATTGAATCAGGTATAACTTCTACTTTTTGTTTTGAAATGTGTGTTTCTGTCTGTTTATACTTGTGCTTTTGAGGGAACTGGTGAACTAATCCACTGACATATTTACATATCTATAGTTGTATTTACACATTTAAATGAGCTGCCTGAGAGCCACATTGTGCTGTCTCCTTTTATAGAGCTCCAGTACTCTACTCTATTACAAGGAAAGCATCCTGTGCTTTGACTATGATCGAACTTCGCAATCCAGTAGACATGCCTTTTACAATTAATAAAATGAAGCTGTCAGCCATTGCAAATGGACCTAGATAGAGGTCACATGACTAAACCACCCTTGCACCAGACAGTCTCTGATGTATTTTATTCCAGTTTCAATCTATTAATCAGAGTAGTTGGGAGAGCAGTAATTTAAATGCTGCAATAATCAATTCCATAACACATTAATAGAAGCTACAGTCAAACTTTGCCACACCACTGACTGCATTGGAATCTTGATAGGAGCCCTAGGGCCATGCCTAATTTGCATTAAATTTACATAAAATTGTAAATCAAGAATACATGAACACAAACCTAATATTTGTTCATACTTAGATCTTTCCTGATATATGGATTGAAACTGCTGGTGGTTTAAATTCACTTGTAATAAAACTGTGCAGCTGATCAGCTTTGCTTCCATTTTGCAATTATGGGGAAAGGGACCCAAGAGAGCTATGGTTTGGGGGCATGTGTGTGCCATTTAGAGTTTTCAGGCTGTAAAACCATGATTCAGGTATGCCCTTGGAAACCCTTTTTGCAGAAGTAAACTGTCCCCAGTGACTTTGCAGATCCTTGTCAATGGATTTGCTCAAAAGTAATTTGTTATTAACTGGAGATACAAACCAAACAGAAGCTGGACAGCTGAAAAGATAAAAGGGCCTCTGGGAATTTTTACTTTCCCAAAAGATTTTTGCTATCATAGGAAAACCAGACAATTAGTGGTAATTTTGAGGGTAAGGACATAGAAAATCAAGCTTTCTTAAACTCAGGAAGGCATCCAGTACTTAATAGAGTGGTACAGTGGGCATCATATAATTCTAAGCATTCTGTGTATTCTTCTTTATGTTTTTACCTTATTCCAACTCTGTCTTTCACTGTGTTTTTTCACATTCAAGGACAGGAGAAAACACTCCCACCAGGGCTACTCACTCACAGTGACAAGGGTACTCTCCCTCTATTCTCCTTAGTCCTATCATTTTACATCTCTTTCCAGAAAGACGATAGATACTTAAGTACAGCGATATATTTGAAAGGTATTTTCTTTTTCCAGGAAAAGACTTCACAAACTTTTGGCATGTTGTGATTAGTCTCTGCCTCCTACCTCTCTGTATCCCTCAGCCTTCCCACCCTCTTCTTACCTTGCACGATCAAGTAAACTTGGGAGGTCTTGGGCTCATGCTGTGTCTGAACGGAGCAAGTGTAGGAACCTTCATCATAGACATCCACCTTCTGGATTCGGAGGCTGTATTCCAGCGAATGGCGTTTCTCCAGCTCAACCCGGGGGTCCAGAGACCACTTGTCATGTCCAGCGAAAATGATGCCAGAGCGGTTCAACCAGGCCACCTTTGAGTTCTTGTCTTCTACAACACACCTGGCAGGGCAGAGTAATAGTGTTAGCACCTTAACCACAGTTGTATGCTTTCATTCTCCACATGATTGGATTCAACAAGACCAATCAAGAAAAATATATGCAGCACAAATTATTGTCATGTTACGTATTTGAGTTCTAAGTATTTTCATTATGATATAAATTACTATCTAAAAGATGAATGCCATTCACTATATTAGACTCAATTCAGGAATGAACAATCTGAGTATGAGTAATGCAGACAAATGAAGTTAAGCGAATATTGAGTTTCCACTGGAATATCTTCTTGTTTTGGAAAAGGTCATTTGCACAAAACTCCATCTATTTGAGTGATTTTTGAAAATTAGAAAATTGATGAGGCACTTTCACTCCATCTTATTCTCTCTTAAGTATTGCCTATAGTCTGGTATGATGGTAGATTCAGGAGATAATTCACCGCTACAGGAATTACACTAGATTACAAGTTTGCTGCTGGCCCTTTCATGTTTGGATTGCAGTGTGTGAGCAGATCCAGGGGTAAATGGATGGGTGTCATGTCAAGGAAATCAGAGCAAACATCATCTGGTGTTAAGTCTGAGTTCAGCTGCTGAGGGCAGCAGATTGTCTGGGGGCAAGAGAGCTGGTTCCTAGCATTTCTGCTCACACTGAAGAACAATTGTTACTGGAGATGAAGGAACCAGTTGCATAGCTCATATCCCCAGGAAGGTAGAGGACAAATGTTGATATGAATGACTACTTCCTTTAGAAATTTTGAAGAGTCTATTTCAGAAATGCGAATGAGAAGGGAAAAGAACATGGAGTAGTGGAGAAGAAGTGAATGACGCATGGTAAATGTTTCCTCTCTCAATTTAAGTAAAAAATTTGCAATGGAAAATGCAAGGGGAAAAAAAAACCTCTCATATTCTTTCAGCAAGATTTATGCCTACCTCACAGGGAGATTGCCCCAGACTCTGTTCACAGCTGCAGAGCCAGCTGCTCAACACTCAGGGGCATGAATGGGTGGACAGAGGGAGTCAAGAGAATGTTGGCAGAACAAGTGAAACATTGCATTCCCTTGCACTTTCCTTTTTTTTAAAGGTTTATTTTATTTACTTGAAAGGCTGAATTAGAGAGAGAGAGACACAGAGAAACAGAGATTGAGAGAGAGAGGTCTTCCATCCACTGGTTTACTCTCCAAATGGTCACAATGACCAGGGCTAAGCCAGGAACTTCTTCTGGGTCTCCCAAGGTAGGAGGCAGAGGCCCAAGCACTTGGGCCATTTGCTGCTCCTTTCCCAGGCCATTAGCACAGAGCTGGATTGGAAGTGGAGCAGCTGGGACTTGAACCGGGGCTCTTATTGAATGCAACATTACAGGTGGTGCTTTACACATTACACAACAACATTGGCTCCTCCCCTGCATTTTCTATACCATTTCAAATCCAGGCTTTCTCTCAGGTCAAAATCAGGCACAGATTCCACATCCATGCACAAACAAGAAGTTGGAGTCTAACCCATAGTCACTAATACAGGGCTACAGAGCCAATTTCCTTGTCTTTTAGGAAGGAGAACAGCTGTGGATGTTGTAGGCATTTGGTAAATGTCATATGAACTAACACACGCTGGACATCTGGTTACCTATATCCTATGCCCCATCCCAAGCCCTACAATCTCCCCAGTGTCTCATCCAAGGCACTAATGTCTCATTTATGGCACAAAGCTTCCTTATATCATTATGTTCAGGTGAGTTGTGTATTTTACAGAGAGAATTTGACCTAACAATTTAGGTGCCAAGATACATGGATCTTAATTTTCTTCTCAACATGTTCATTTTTTTAAACAAAGCCAGATACAGGAATCAGTCAGTATCTCCACTTTCCAGTGTATGTTGTACCGCCATGGAGTTATTATGGGGCATAATTACATGTAACTGATGATTCAGAGCTCCTGTCTCAGGAGCACAGAGCTAAGCTCATAGGCACTTGATGCTTCAGGCTAGACTTGATTTTACTTTCCCTATCCTGCTCTCTTTTTAAATTTCTATTTATTTGTTTTCATTTGAAAGGCAGAGAGCTAGAGAGATAGGGAGGGAGGAACAGAGGAAGGGATGAAGTGAGGGAGGGAGGTAGATCGATAGATATATCTTTCATTTGCTAGTTAATTCCCCAAAAGCTATCAACAACTGGGGTTAGGCCAAGCAGTAGCCAGGAGGTCAGAACTCCATCTGGGTCTCTCACGTGGGTGACAAGGACTCAAATATTGAGGCATCATCCTATCAGGTGCATCAGCAGGAAATTGGATGGGAAGTAGGGCATTCAACACAAGCATTCTCACAGGGGAAGCAGGCACCAAACTGGAGGCTTAAAAGTGTTGCACCACAGTGCTTGCCCCTCCTAGTCTTTTGTGGCATTCATCTCTCTGTCTTTACATTCATTTATGAATGAATTAATATAACATTAACTGTCCTGTACCAGACTGCTCATGAAACTGCTGAATGCAGATTTCTTGAGTGTCTCTTTTCTACTGAAAGGGAATGACTTGCATCTGAGTAAATGTGCTCTAAATCTTCTAGCACACTTCCTCTTTGGGCTTCTCCCATCTGCACAGCTCAACACAACAATGACCAGATTTGCCACATCCTACAGAAGCACTCTGAGTGCATTGTAGGCCAGAATATGGTCTCTAATCTGTTCATTTGAAAACAAAAAATGATATATTTTACATTAAGACAGCCTGGAAATCAAATAAGGACAAGGATTTTGCCTTTTTCATTTGGAAATATCCAAAACCTAACGTAGAATAAGATAGGCATTTGGTAAATGCTTGTCATGTGAATTAACATGCTGGACAGGTAGATACTTATACTCCATGCCCCATCCTCAAGGAAATTGGAAAGACTTCTGTAGCATATGGTAGAGTGTCTAAGGCAGATCTTTTGGTTCCTTGGTCATTTTAGCAATCGTTATCTACAGAAAAGTTAAGATCACACAGATCATTATTGTCTAAGAGCTTTCAGATCCATCTTACCTAAAGAAGTAATTGACTATTTCAGCAAAACTGGTAGACCTATAAAAACACATTTACCAAAACAAAATATTATATAGAAACTTTGTTATGACAATCTATGTAGTGTTTTCTTTTTATTTTGGCTCCATTCCTATTTAATTTTTTAAATGTATCTCATACTACAAACAGTGAAAGCTATCTTAGAACTAGCATACTTTTCATTAGTTCAGACGGTCAGCCAAACAGCAAGCACAAGTGGACAAGATAGTGTCTTTAAAAAGAAAATCACTGAGGCCAGCATAATGGCAGAGGACGTAAGCCATCACCTGCAACACTGGCATCCCATACTTGAACAACGGTTAAGTCATGGCTGCTCCACTTTTGATCCACTTCCCTGTTAATGTACCTGGTAAAGCAGCAGAAGATGGCCCAAGTCCTTGGACTCCTGCCACCCATGTGGGGGAACAGAACAGAGTTCCTGGTCCCTGGCTTTGGACTGGCCCAGACCTAGCTGTTGTGAACATTTGAGGAGTGAACCAGTGGATGCAAAATCTCTCTCTCTCTCTTTCTCTCCCTTTCTCTGTCACTCTGCTTTTCATATAAATAAATAAATCTTAAAAAAAAATATTTCTCCAGATCTATAAGTCTGCTTTTTCCATGCAGTCAAAAGTTGCAGAGTAAATGTATTGACTTTACATAGCAGAAAAATCATCCCTCTATATGACCAAAGCTTTCCTAATGAAATATAAACAATGGAGTAATTAACTTCAAAGCTGATTTAATTTTTTAATTTCAAAATCTTGATTGAAGACTGAAACTACATTTAACCATGAAAAATACACATAAGAAAAGATGGTAAAAGCCAAAATAACAGACTCAATTTGAATAATTCTATACCATTAAGTAAAAATAACCAGTCATACAGGATATAAAGTAGTCACAGGCCACGTTGGCTTTGCAGAAATTAGACATCCTGGTGTAAATGCAGACCTAGGTTCCTAGTCTTTGCTGACTCAACGATGAACATCATGGGCTTGCATCTAGGAGTAAGCTGATTTAATCACACCTTAGGCATGGCTTCAGGGTCAATGAGGAGTCTCAGTCCATGTCTTTATAATATAAAAGTAATGAATTATCACCTACCTAGAATGCTGCTTTAGTACTGGACAACTTAGTCCAACAGAGTACACCCAACAAATGTATCTTCAAAACCAGCTTTGGCTAACAAAAAAGCATGAAGAGATGCACTTTGAAAAGGTGTTAGTGCTATACATTGTTTGATTTACTAGAATCTAGAATGTTTACTGAGAAGTTCATGATGCTGCAAATAATTCCCAGATTTAGAAGGAACTGCACCCTAGTGTGGGTGCCATTGCCTTGAGAAAAGGCCAGAGAACGCCGTCCCCTTTAGGTGGAGTTTCTAGCAGGCAACCGAGGGCACAGTGGTATAACTCTGAGTGCTCTCTCTCTAGGAAATCTCTTTCCACTAATGCACCCTTTCACTCAGCTCCTTCCCTTACCTTGCCAAACTGCACATGGAATTATTTACATTCCATTTTCTCATGAACTTATTAAAAGACAGTGGCCCTCTTGTAATTTACTTATGGAGACCTTACTGCTTCTAGCAGCACAAACATGATCTACACAGTAAATTCTCATGAAATGTAGAATAAACTCAATCCCATTTAATAAATCTATTGCATTAATTATCAAAAATTTATTTATTATCATTTAATAGGTACAGAATAAATGGGTATTTTAACATTCTTTAAGAAACAATTAAAATTATCAGATACAAAGGGAGATGTAAAAAAAATATTGAATGCAGTATTATGATGGAAGTGAAGGAGAGGAAAAAAAAAGTGTTTCTTGTTTCCACAAGGAAGAAAGATCGTATCTGAGAACAAAATAATCTGTATTCCATGTAGAAAGCCATAAAATGGAGTAAAAAGCACTGAATAAATGTTTAGCAGGTTGCCCACTCTAACCATGAACCCTCAAACATCAGGTGATTTATCT